GCACTGAACATAATCAAGAATAAATCTGTGTTTATCACATGAGAAGCCCACAAAGTCTCCAGCACCTGCATTTTCTGAGTAAGGGAACAAAAGGAACATACGGCCATAGGCACAGTGGAATTTCCATCACAGCAGACCATAAACCCATGTTTTCTCATCTCAACACGAAAGAAGAAATGAGCACATGCCTTGAAATTATGAAACTGTGGTTGAATTTCCAAGAAAGCTTAGCAGCTGTGATTGAGCCAAATGCCTCAAGCCAGGAATCCTGGTGTGCACACATTAGAGGAGAAGAGAGTGTTTGGGATTCTTGTGGCAAGGAAAATCTTCAGGCTCAGAGAGGTCAGAGGGGCTGCTCAGAGAGCAGGACAGGCTACTGTGCTGGTGAAAACGATGTGGAACCAGGTCTCCTGCCAAAGGGAGTACAGCAAAAAGCAGTCAGAGATGAACATTTCACTAAACAAAACAAGACCTTCTTGACACTTCATGCATTAAGAACTGTACAATGTTGATCAGCTCTAGAGAAGTCAGGCAATTGGGAATCCCAGGAAAGAGCATTCTGAAGAAAAGGCCCCAAAACTGAAAGATGGTTGTGAAATGAAAACTCATCTTCAAGACAAAGCCTGGGTCGGAAATGTATCTTTGAGATGTGTTTTCTTTAATTCCTTATCCCCTCCTTAGCTCCTTTTGTGTCCCAGACACAGACACTCAGACACAGCTGTGAACATGGCTCAAAGGAAAAATAACTCTTCATATTAACAAAAAAAAAAATACTAAGAGGAAAAAACCAAACCCTAATAAACTTGTCACTTCAAATTTTTATTCAAAATGTATTCAAAGCTCTGTCTACAGGATGGGTGAAGGAAGAGGAAAGTGGAAGTAGGTACCATGGTGACTGACATGTGGACAGTCCTTACAGCAGATTAGACTGTTAGGATTTCACCTGGATGGTCCACCCTGGGAAAGAGCCCATCTGAACTGGGAAGTTCCCTGCCCACACCGGCATTTTAGGATCTCAGTGAGCGATTCCTCTGGCTACGTCGGGGCGTCTCACAGGCACCCCTTAAATAGATAGTAATCACTCGGTAGACTTTTAGGCCATGAAACATCTGATCCACAAGGTGCATCAGCCCTGGGAGAAGCTCTTAGGCCCTGCCCCAGGCTGCTCTGCCTCACCCGCAGAGGAACGTGTCCAGCTGGAGGCACATCCTCTGCCAGCGCCTGCAGGTGACCGTTCCCTTCAAAAGGCTCCAGGAAAACCTACCCCCAACATTTTGTAAGTTACAGGAGGAAAAGAGAGATGTTTTTAGCAAACCTTAGAAAATGGAGCCATTTTCTGGAGCTGCTGGCTTCTTTCCATTACCTGCAGTGGCTACACCTGTACTAGTGAATTAAATAAAGCTGGGACCAATCTCTGGCCCTGAGTGTTTCTATCAGGTGTCCGTGCCCAGGTGCTGGAAAAGGAGGCCGGGGCGGAGGAGGGGGGAGGGAGGGAGGGAGCAGCAGCAGAGGCAGCCCCAGGCCGCAGGAGGAGGAGGAGGAGGGCAGGAGGTGCTGCAGGCCCGCAGCAGGGATCCCCTGCAGCCCTGGAGAGACCCCGCTGGAGCAGAGGTCAGAAACATCGGCATTTTTTTTTTTATTTTCACATCATTGGTAGAGAGAAAAGTGTAACATTCCTAAATGTCTCACAACTGTTAAACCTTGTAGACTTTAGGAGGTGCAAGTGGAGGAAAGGATCGTTTCTTCTCTTCCCACATATCCTCTCCTGGGTATTTCCTAGGGGATTGGGATCCTGCTGATCCTTCATCTGTGGTCATACAAAGTGGTACTGAGGGTGCTGGATGTCCCCTTGTCCCACTCTACTTGATTGCAGTACAAGACCTCCTACCCTGATGTATCTTCTATGCAACACACATTTCTCTAATTACAGCTTACAGGCTACAGCTGTACCAGTAAATTTAACAGTGTGGGGGACAACCTGGGGCACTTAATCTTGACTCTATAATATTGAATTATTAATAAGGTCTTGGCCATGTTTCTGTCCCAAGATGACTAAAATTCTCCCAAACTATTCCCAGCAGTTAGCACAGGCCAGAAACCATTTCCAGTAGGTTTATTATTCCCCCTTTGTGTGGGAAGTAAACAAGTTGAAAAGTAGAGCCAAGGGCCATACTGTGACAGCTGGCCTCAGCATTGGGTTTGCTTAACTTGTACTGACATGACCTCAGAAGAAAGGGACCAGGCTGCGCCTATGGCAGCAGTCTAGCACATTTATACACTCATTATTGTACACATTCATTCACTGCACATCCATGATGCTACACCACAGCAGTGCAGCAGTCATCGCTGATCTGTTTTGAGGGTAGCATGTGGCAAGACAGGCAATTGCTCCTGTGTTTCCAAGGCCCTGAATCATCACCATCATTTCACATCATCCTCCCTTTCAGAGTGGTTAGTTGTGAGGGATGATAAACAATATCAGGGAACACAGGAAGAGGCAACAGAAGTATTTTTGTGAGGATAAAACATTTCAAAACACTATTTAGATGAAGATTAGAAAGGACTGAAGCCGTTCAGAAATTTGGAGTAGTAGTAAAACAACTGGCATTAGATCATCTGTGATTTCTTGCAAGATGAGGAAAAAATGAGGACCCTTGAGCAGCTTGCAAAGCAAATGATTCAGGGACTCTTGTTTGCTGCACAGGCTTTTTTTCCAGTCACTTAAGATAAAGAACGAGACTTGCATTTTCTATTTTGCTTACTGCTCTTTGGAAACAAATAGAGAAAGTATTCTTCTATTTCAAATTATAGGCCTGCAGACTGAAAATTTCTGCCTCAGCCTTCATGGTGGAAGTGTGACTGGAGTGTCCACAACAAAATCTCCTCAAACAGCCAAAGATTTATGCAAGAAGGAACACATTGCCATATCCTTCCTCTCTTTTCTCTTTTCTGCCTTTTGTGCAGCAGTTGATTCTATCAACACTTTATTTTTCTTAATCAAGTAACAACCTTTAATCCCAAAGGACCCATGAATGGTAGTATGAGGCTTTTCAGAGCTTTGAATGTTTGGATTCCTTAAGAAGAGAAGAAGAATGAAAGAAAACTTCAGCTCTTCATTTGAAGGCTGTGTCTGACTCACCAGCTACTGGATGACGATCTGGAAAGTTTTAAACTCTCCTGACAGTTTTGGCCATTAATAACTGAGAAGATACATGCTTTTCTGAGACTGCCAACAACCCCGTCTGTCACAGGCTTTAGTCAGGACTCTGTAGATTATTTTTATGTCACTTAATGCTGCTTCTGCAGAGGACATTTCAGTTAATAAAGCTGTATCTTAAAGGTCTTTTACAACCAAAATAATTCTATGATTCACAAGATGACCTTGAAAAGTAGTGGGGAAAACTCGTCAGGTGTGTGAAGGGATGCCTGGCTCCACAGCACTTATCAGCTCATCCCAGGACTTATACAGAGCCTCCCAGGTCCTTCACTGGGATTGCGCAGTGGATCCGTGGATGTGACTTGGAACTTCTGTAGCTATAAGCAAGCAGAGTGGTGCTGTCTAGAAGAATGACTGAGAAACCTGCTACCACTAAGTGCTTTTAAAGTTTCCCATGAGCTACCAATGGTACTCTGTGTTTTTGGAATTTAAGATAACAGGTCTTGTTGCGGCTTTCAGTGTCTGCAAGTTATTTCTGTACTCATCATACCTGCTGTGTGTCTTCAGGGATGGCGCCAGAGCTGTAATAAAAAATAACATCTTTCACATGCCACTAACTCTGCAGGTTCAGATTACAGCCAGAGAAATAGTGCCCAGTGAAGGCTGCAGCCACTTGGACAAAACAAATCATAGAATCATAGAATACAGGGTTGGAAGGGACATCAAGGATCATCTGGTCCAACCTTTCTAGGCAAGAGCACAGTCTAAACAAGATGGCCCAGCACCCTGTCCAGCTGCATCTTGAAAGTGTCCAGTGTAGCAGAGTCAACTACTCCCCACGGGAGATTATTCCAGGGGCTGATTGTTCTTATTGTGAAACATTTTCCTCTTTTGTCCAATTGGAATCTCCTCAGGAGTAACTTATACCTATTACCTCTTGTCTTTTCCGTGTGACACCTTGTAAAAAGGGAGTCCCCATGTTCTTTGTAGCCACTCTTTAAATACTGGGACATGATGATAAGGTCTCCCCTAAGCCTTCTTTTCTCAAAGCTGAACAAACCCAGTTCTCTCAGCCTTTCCTCATATGGCAGTCTTCCCAGTCCTTTGATCATCTTGGTGGCCATTGTCAGGACCTTGTCCAGCATGTCCACAACTTTTTTCTATAGTGGGGACCAAAACTGTACACAGTATTCCAGGTGTGGCTTGACAAGTGCTGAGCAGAGTGGAATAATGACTTCTTTATCTCTGCTGGTGATGCCCTTGTTGATGCAGCCCAGAATCTTGTTGGCTTTCTTTGCTGCAACAGCATACTCATATTGAGCTTGTTTTCCACCAGGACCCCCAGGTCCCTTTCTACAGAGCTTCTCTCCAGACGGGTAGATCCCAGCCTGTGCTTCTTTCCTGGATTATGTTTTCCCAGGTGCAAGACCTTATGTTGGTCTTTGATGAACTTCATAAGGTTCTTATTAGCTTACTCTTCCAGCTAATTCAGTTCTTCCTGCAGGATGGCTCTCCCTTCCAGTGTTCACTTCCCCACTTAGTTTGGTATCATTGGAAAACTTCATCAGGATACACTTGATCCCACCATCCAGATCACTTATGAAGATATTAAGCAGTGTTGGGCCCAATATTGATCCCTGGGGTCTCTTGCTCTGCCTACTTCTCTTACCTTTAAAGAAGATGAAATGTTTATGTGCTTCCAAGAGAGTGTTCTTGAAAAACTCCCAGCACTTGCTAGCTCTTTTATCCTCCATGAAAACTTCCCATAGAATCTCTCCTAACTGAGCTCTGAGCAAGCTGAAGTTTGCTCTTCTAGAATCTAAAAGCTTGTCTTAGTACCAACCTTTAGTGTACTCAGCAGGATCCCACACCCAACAATATTGTGATCATTGTAGCCAAGACTATCACTAATCGAGATACTACGAAACAGGTTTACTTGGTTTGAGTCCAGCAGTCCTTCATTCCTCGTTGGCACGTCTAACATTTGTATGAGGAAGCAGTCCTCTACGCATGCCAGGAACTTGATCAATGACATATGAGTTGCTCTATTGTTCTTCCAACAAATGTCTGGGTAGTTGAAGTCACCCATAAGAATCAGGTTCTGTTGACCAGAAGCTTGCTTAAGTGACCCAAATATTGCTTCATTGGCCTTATCGTCTTGGTTTGGAGGTTGGTAGCAGATGCCTACTGTAAGATCCCCCTTGGAGACAACCCCTCTGACCTTGACCCAGAGGCATTCGATAGGGCTTCCACAGTCGCCGTAGTTGACTTTTATACATTCAACATTTTCCTTAACATAGAGTGTGACTCCTCCTCCTCTTCTTCCCTGTCTGTCTTCACAAAACAGCCTGTAGTCATCCATTGTGATCTTCCAGTCATGGGAGTTGTCTCACCATGTTTTAGTTACTCTTATGATACCATAACTTTCTGACTGGGCACAGAGCTTCCGTTCCTCCTGTTTGTTCCCCTGCTGCGTGCACTGGTATACATACACTTGAGGTGGTTTGTCTTCTGGTTCTCATCTTGAAAGGCAGCTAAGGAACATTTGCTGCTGCTCTGGTTGGCCTGGCTTATTCTCTAGCTGGTTGTAATGACGTGAGTGTTGTCACTTTGGACCCTATTCCCCAAGTCCTTATATCTCCCTGTGTAATCAGAGAAATATTTCAGTTGCATTGAGTCTCTGGCTTGGCTGTGTGATGCACACACTTGGAGGGAGACTTGCACTAACCTCCAACCTTCTGGGCATTATTGTGCTCAGTGGAGCACCCTGCTTAACCCAAGCCCTGGTCCTCCTCCCCAGTGCCGCTGGCTGATGCTGTGAAGGAGTTCCCCACTCATGTCCCCCCCATTTGGATATCTGGTCCTTCCTGTTGCAAGAAGTGAACACCCAAGTTAGTTATCAAATATCATGATCTGATATTTGATGCTTTTACCTCTTGCCCTGGTTCTGTCTGCTCTGCAGCCCACAGGGTGATGGGGGTTTGGAGTTATGCCCCAGTTATTTCTAAACTCACCGTGGGCCAGGCTCACCCCTGCATCAACCCCCTCCTTTTAAGGCTGGGGCTCAGTGGCCTTGCAGTGCCAGCACATTTGTTTTGCCCTTCACTGTCCAAAGCTTGCATCAGGGAAGACTTTGACTTGAAGTCAGAGAGATCTTTGCTGTGGATTTCAGTGGGAGGAGACATCAGCTCTGTTTGACCTTCTGTTTTCTTTCAAAGTACTCAAAACAGAACTTCAGGCTGCTTCCAGGGCCAGACACTTTCTTGGACAGTTCCAAGAAGCCTTCCTGATCTGGCTGCAGTACAAGCGGTCAGAATTTCACTTGGATGAATTGTTCTCAAACAACGTCTCCAATGTATTAGGCAAAAAAGCCTTTTCTTTTGATGTCAGCTGCGAAGCAGGTTTTTTTATCTCAGCACGCTTTTGTTCACAGATCTATTTACTGTGGTGGATGGGTGAAAATGCTGAGTGGGAATTAACCGTCTTGCATCTCAGGCACCACTGCAGTGCAGTTTAAATTTGTTTATTTTTTCCCCTACACTATCACCATTATATTTTTATCTGCTACCACTAAGTGTTCTCTCTGAGGCTATGAATCAGCCCCTTTCTTCAGAGCTCCATTCTTTTAATTAGCACTAAACTGACTCCCCAAGCACCTTTTAACAATGTAAACACTATTTTAATTTTGAAGGTTTTTTTCTCTCCTTATTTTCCTATTCAAAGTCATCATAAACTGTGAAGTAAATTTCATGCAAAATGAAAATGGAGTATCTCCAAGTTCCACGCAGCGGCAGCACAATGGCACGCAACAGTGCAACTACAAAGCACAGTGGGTAAAACATTTCTCTTAGGCTTTGCTACAGTTCAGGACAGCATCAGTGCACAGAAGCCAAAATGATCAGGGACTGGATTCCTTGCTAAGTGCCAGTCATCTGGAGAGAAGAGGGGTACCTTGCTGAGACTTTGCAGTGCACCCCAGCTATTGGCTTTGCATCAGAGGCTCAGCTTGAAGGTGAGGGACAACAGTTGCATGAAATTAATATGGACAGTGTGAAGAAATTGTATAAAGTGGAGATAAATAGTTAGGGGTTAAAGAGAACAGAAAAAGCAGCTGCAGAGGGGAGGAAGTGGGGGCAGGAAAGAGACTGTGTGCTGGAAACCTAAACCTCAGCAGGCCAAGGAGCGGCTGCGGATATAGAGCAGGACTCTTCCAGGACAGCATTTCCTGTTGACTCAGGAGCTGCAATGAAACCAATATCAGTTGGGGAATGTGGATTTCTTGAAACATTTCTGTACTGGCAAAAGCACCACTGTTATAGATGAAAAGGGCCTTTTTTTTTTTTTTTTTTGGAGTCTCATGAGTAATAGGAGTGCTTCTTCACTAGTACAAGCTGGACCAACTACCCCAGTGGAAGTGTCCTCACAAACCTTTTCTACCATAGACCTGACCTATGGCAGCATCAAGATCAGGGTGGTAATGTGGTGTCCTTCAATTTATCTTTTCCAAAGAGCAGTTTCTTGCATTGCCATACATTAAAATCTACCTGGCTTTCCACTCCAACTCCCTCCTGTGGCCCCCCCCAAGATGACAGAAAAAGAGGAGAGAAGCAAATGACGAAAGAAGCCCAGGTAGACAGTTTGGGGGCTTACAGCTCTCCCAGCCAGGCTTGCATTTGGACTGCTACAGTGCAGGGCTGTAAGTATGACACTGCTCGCAAGGTGAAACTCAAGAGCCTGCTGAAAAGCTGGAAGAGGTTTTTACCACCTGCGATTTAGGCTAGTTATACCAGGTCTTTATTGTACTTATCTGGCTGTAAAATAGGAATAATAAAAACTCCCTTCTTTGCAGGCAGGAAAAAGAAGTAGATGCCTCACACTGTAAGCTATAATAAAAAAATTATGGATTTTTATTTGTGAAAAGTAGAGAAACAGCCTATAGAGACATAAGTTCTGAAGATATAGAGCACTCACCTTCCCTCAAGGTCTGCTGTTGGGCATTAAAAGTAGTAGCTGCTCTTGAGCATAGTGTTGCACAACCTCTGGTGGGACACACCATGTATGTCATGGTTACACATGGTGCTGTGTTCTGTAAGCACCATATTAACTGCATTTGAAGTGATGGCCATCAGCCAAGGAGGCCCATGAATCCTAGCAGGTAGTGAGGGTGACAGGAGTGGAGGAATACCCAAAGGAGGTGAACCACTGACGCCAGCCTTGGGTCACCTACAGGCTCTTGCAAATGGGAACAGGGGATCCTCCACCAAATCCAGCCTGGTCAGCTATGGGGAACTGCACGCACAGGAAAGCAGCACAAATAATAACAGGGAAGACAGATTTCACCCAAAAGATAAAGCTGTGGATTAAAGCAGCAGGTTAGATTTGTCGGGCAGATCCCAAGCACCTGATCCCTGGGAATCGCCCCCAAAGTTCAGCTTTCTAGTCTTCCACGAAGCTCCACTGTCCTCCAGTCTGTGACACAATGGCCTTACTGAGAGCTAAACATAGGCTGAGAGGTCTATTTTTAGCATGCTAAAATATTCCAAAGAGGAGAAAAAAGGGTGTAAATCTGGAACTGGATTCCAGGGTGGAGGATTTGGGGGGGGGGTTTGTGAAAAATGGCTTCTCGGAGAAAGTGCTCCTTTTGGAGTATTTGTGGCATCTTGGCAAAGGAATAATTCATTCCCTCATAAACACAGTCACCGCTCGGGGTGCAATTGGTGTAAATCAGGGCAGCTTGAAGCCTCTGGCTCTGCTGACATTTCTGACTTCAGCTGAAAGGCAGGCCTGTGGCTTTTGATAGAAAGATCACTGCCAAATTTAAGAGCTTCAGCCCTCATTCAGACATTTATTACCAGGCATGAAAAGAGTGTAAACTGCCGTGCAAGCAATCTGAAGCAAACACCTCCGTCAGAGTTTGACTCCTCTCTCTGCCTGTCAGCCTCTGCTGCCTTTGAAAGCGATCAGGCTCGTGACTGTATGTTTGACTGTGTTGGCTGGGTTAGAAACAATTTGTCAGGCTGATCCTTTAACTGGCTCCATGGGAGCCTGTCTCCTGAGAGTGTTCGTCCCCGAGGATTCCCCAGGCAAGCACGCACCCTTTGCATCATTACGTCCAAGGGGTTCAGCCTTCATCTCACAGTGCAAGTCCTGACAGCTTAGGAGGCTGTAACAAAAACTGTGAAAAAATGGAGTATTGGAGTCAGAGAAACTGGGCCATCCACCACAACTCTGGCTAGCCTTGAAAGTCTTATTTCATGCTCATATCTTATGTGGGAACTTAACAAATTATTTCTCTGTGGAGTATTTACCTAGAAGAATTAAGGATAGGGCAATGAGTGTAGTGACATGCTGCTGTGGTTTAACCCCAGCTGGCAACTAAGCCCCATGCAGCCGCTCACTCACTCCCCCCGGTGGGATGGGGGAGAGAATCAGAAGAGTAAAAGTGAGAAAACTCATGGGTTGAGATAAAGACAGTTTAATAGGGAAAGCAAAAGCTGCACACGCGAGCGAAGCAAAGCGAGGAATTCATTCACTGCTTCCTATGGGCAGGCAGGTGCTCAGCCATCTCCAGGTAAGCAGGGCTCCATCACATGTAACGGTGACTTGGGAAGACAAATGTCATCACTCCCAACATCACACCTTTCCTTCTTCTTCCCCCACCTTTATATGCTGAGCATGACATTATATGGTGTGGGATATCCCTTTGTTCAGTTGGGGTCAGCTGTCCCAGCCATGTCCCCTCCCAGTTTCTTGTGCACCCCCAGCCTCCTTGCTGGTGGGGTGGGGTGAGGAGCAGAAGAGGCCTTGACGCTCTGTAAGCCCTGCTCAGCAGTAACAAAAATATCCCTGGGTTATCAACACTGTTTCCAGCACAAATCCAAACCACAGCCTCATACCAGCTACTATGAAGAAAATTAACTGTATCCCAGCCAAAACCAGCACAGTTGCTTAGCTCCTAGGGTACTAAGTTAGATGTCTAAATAACTTTGCCATCTCCCAATTTGGTCCAAATTCATAGGTTTCTCTTCAACACATTTTGGGAAGAGACTGCCTCCTTTCTGAGTGTTTCATAACCCCACAGAGTCCCTCCCTGGCAGGGAAGAGGCAGGGTGAGGTCCATCCTTCCCCTGCTGTAAGCATTGCTAGAACACCCCTCTTACTTGGGAACAAAGTGCTTTGGGTCACCACTCCAGGCTGATCTACCCTACACCCCATGTGATAGGATCCAACTTGTGTAACTGCCATACATCTTACCCCTGCTACGAGTTAGGATTTTGAATGAAAACCATCCTTTTGGAGTTTTCCTGCACTTTAGACTGGGCTGAGATTCTGAACTTAATGATGTTGCTTTAGCCTATCCCT